AGAACCAATGTTTATAGCCTTTAATATTAACCAATTGTGTAAATTGAATATTAGAACTATTTCAAATGGCTTTCATGGTAGGCAATACAAACTCTTTTTAATATTCTTCATGTTGTCTTTTGATAGGAAGTTTTTAATTTTACTAAAATCTAATTTATAATTTTACTTTCTTTCATGATTATTTCTTTCTGTCTTGAGAAATTTTTCCCTATGCACATGGTTTAAAGGATAACCCCTGTATATTTTCTTTTAGACGATTTGTCTTTCTAGTTATTATGTTTTGATCTATGATATTTTAAAATTAATTTTTTGTATCATGTGAGATAGGGATTGAGATTCATTTATTTAAATATAATAATCTAGTTCTTACACCAATTGTTGAAAACTTTTCTTTCTCCATTGGATTGTTTTGATGCTTATGTGAGAAATCAATCAATTATAAAAGTGTGGGTCTATTTCTACACACTGCATTTCATTCCATCATTCCATTTAAATATTTTTATGTCAATACCATGCTGTCTTGATAATTGTTCCTTTATATTAAGTATTGAAGACAGGTAGAGTCAGTCTTCCAACATTGTTCTTCTATTTCAAGACTCTTTCTATGACTCTTGGTTTTTCACATTTCCGTTTATACCTTAAAATCACTTGAACATTTCCATTAAAAATGCCCTCAGAGATTTTGTTTGGAATTGCACTAAAACTGTATGTCAATTTACAAAGAATTGAGATTTCTACAATATCCCATCATCTAATCTGGGGATGTTGTATATCTCAGTAATGTTTTGTAATTTTTAATGCAGAGATATTGCACATATTTTGTTAAATTAATCTCCATTTTATTTTTGTCACTATTTTAAATAAATTACTCTTGGTATGCATAAATACAACTGCTGCTAATATATAGAAATGAAACTGGTTTTGTATATTGATCTTTTATCTATGACCTTGATAAATTCACTTATTAGTTCTAGTAGTGTGATTGCAGATTGTCTAGGATTTTCTACATAAGCAATCATACTTTATGTGAATAAAAGCTATATTATTTCTTCCTTTCCAATCTTTGTGTCTTTTATTTCTTCTTATGGCCTTATGCGGCATGGCCCAGAGCTGCAGGGACAAAGGTGAATAGAAGTGGTGAGAGTCATCAGTCTTATCTGGTTCTTGACCTTAGAGGGAAAGGGTCTAAGGCTTCACAATTTATGTTTAGTGTTAAATGTAGGTGTTTTGTATGTGCCCTTTATTGCATGTTAACACCTACAAATATAATCGTGAGGTGAATTTTTGCTCAGGTTGAGTTAAGTGTATAGCAGATTCAGGAATCTTTCTTACATTTCTACTTTGCTGATAGTTTTTCATCAAGCATGGGTATTGAATTGTTGTCAAATGCTTTATTCTGCATCTATTGAGTTTTTTTCTCTTTGGCATATATACCGACTTTCATTGTTTTATTTTCAAATGTTTCTCTTTGTGTTGCTATTAACATCACAAGATTGGTTAATGTTAAAACAATCTTATACTCACAGGATAAACTTCACTTGATTATTCAGTATTATCTTTTTTATGTATTGCTGGATTTGCTAAAATTTGTTAAGGATTTTATTCTCTATGTTTATAGGTTAAAGCCCTAGTTAGTCATGATGTAGTATAATTTTTATTTCTTGATGGATTCAATTTGATAATGCTTTAGTAAAGGATTTCTGCATCTTTGTTATGGGAGATTCTGTCTGTAAATTTTTTTATAATATCTTTGTTGAGTTTTGGTATCATAGTTGCCTTGGTCTCAATAAACAAGTTGAAATTTTACTCTCTGCTTATACTTTCTAAGAATGTATATAAACTTGATTTTTCTTTAATACTTGTTAGAATTGATAGGTAAAACCTAGCCCTGGAATTTTCCTTGAGGGACTTTTTTGTTGTTGTTGCTTTTAAATCATATTCAATATGTTTAATATAAGGCTATTCTGACTTTCTTTCTTGGGTGAGTTTTTATAAATTGCTTTTCAATGACTGTGTCGATATAGTCTAAATTGTCAAATTTATTGATTTAAAGTTGTTTATAAAATTTCCTTTGCCTATTTTTAGTGTCTGAAGGATCCATATTTATATTTAATTCCTGTTATTAGTAACTTGTGTTTTCCCTCTTTATTTTTCTTATTCTGACTTACTAGGGTTGTATCATTTTTATTTATCTTTTAAAAGAACTAACCTCTTACAAATTATCTCTACTGTTTGTGTCTTAATTTCTTTTTTTTTAATTCCTTTTTTTCCTTTTTCTCTGGAATTATGCCTTTTATTTTTTTTTGAGGAAGGTTGGCCCTGAGCTAACATCTGTTGCCAATCTTCCTCTTTTTCTTTTTTCTCCCCAAAGCCCCAGTACATAGTTGTATATCCTAGTTGTAGGGTCTTCTAGCTGCTCTACGTGGGACACCACCTCAGCATGGCTTGATGAGTGGTGAGTAGGTCTGTGCCCAGGATTCAAACCGATGAACCATGGGCTGCCAAAGCAGAATGCACAAATTTAACCTCTATGCCACTGGGCCGGCCTCTATGTCTTAATTTCTTGATTTCCAATGTTAGTATAAATTTCTCTCCATGCACTGCTTTATACATTTTAATATGTTGTGTTATCCTTAGCATTCAGTACAAATAGTTTGCAATTATTCCTGTGATTTCCTCTTTAAATAATGGATTATTTATAAGTTTGTTGTTTAGCTAATAACATTTGTGGCTCCTCTAGACATTTTACTATGAATTTGTTTTAATTTTAATTTAATTTGTTGAAATGAATCAAGAATTATTTTATCAGCCAGCATATAGTCCATCTTTGTGAACAGTCCATGTATACTTGAAAATACTAGATTCTGCAATCATTGGGTGGAATGTCTATAAAATTCAATGAAACCAAGAATGTTGACAGTGTTATATATCTTTACTTAATTTCTGTCCACTTTTTTAAATCAGTTAATGAAAAAGGCACTTTAAAATCTCCAACAATGACTGTGGATTCTCCTGTTTCCCATTCTATTTATGTCTTTATTTGTGTGTTTGTTACAAAGCTTTATGACTAGCCACACACCACACATTTGTGATTTTTCTGTCTGCCTAATTAATTGACCTTTTATTATTATGAAATTTCCCTTTCTATCTATGGTAATATTCCATTACTGAAAGTCTATTGTATCTGATACTAATATAGCCACTTCAGTTTTAATATGCTTACCACCTGCATGGTACACTTTTTTTCCTCCTTTGATTGTGAATCTTTCTAGATCTCTATATTTAATATGTGTCTATATTTAATGTTGCTCTTGCTCCTTTATTCAGTCTGACTTTGACTTTGACTTAATTGGAGTCTTTAGTCTCTATTTCATATAATAGTTGACATAATGGATTTAGACCTATGTTTTATTTATCTTGATAAATTTATTTTTGCATTTGGGTTTATTACAGATTCTAATTCATCATACAAACAATGCTAGCATTAACAATTCAGCTATTTTCTCCTCATCTCAGTAATATATGTCTGCCTATATCAAACCCACTCCTCCTTTCCCCTTTACCCAGAGCAGGCAATTATATCTGGGCTTAAAAGTGGCTGCCAGCTTTGATCCCTTACAAATGGCTCATCCCTCTCTGGCTAACTTATTAACCAACTACAGCATCTACTACTCTTCAATGACTTTAAACAAAGGCATTATTTTTTAGTGTATCTTGTGTTTTCTTATTATTACCAGAGTTATGGTCCTTTGTGACTTTCCACACTGTAATCAGATATGAGATATCTCCTCTAGCAATTTTTAAAGAAAAGTTTATTGAGTTGCATAAACAAGCAAATAAAATAGAACAGGATTTACAATCAGAAAGTCCTAGGTATGTCTCTTAGTTTCTTCTTTTTCTACCTATGACAAATGGAGAAGTTACTCAATTTTCTGAGCTTCATTGAGTACATCTGTAAATTCTGTTTCTTAAGACGAACCATGTATTATTATTATTATGAAGATGAAATGAGATCTTATGTGTAAATTGCTCAGTTCCTAGACTATGGTAGAAACTTAACAAATATTATTGAACTTTTGTGCACATATAAGTTTAAATAATTTCTGTGTAAGTTTTATATCAAAAAATAAATACAAAAATGTTACCTTTTTTAAAACTTACAATTATTCAAATTAAGGATGGCAAATGATTGATAATAGCAACAAAACTAAGAAATTTTCTTGACAAATTTTATATTTCCACTGAGGAAAAATTCTCAAACTGCATGTTCATTTAAAATATCATTATTTGAATGATAATTTTAGGTAAGCATATATTATTAAAACACTGTTTATGTGATAAATACTTCATTTTATTGTTAATGGAATTAAAAAACAAAGTCAATATTCAAAAAAAAAATAAGAACATGATATCCTAAACCAGGAAGTTTCAGATTTAGTCCCTAACCTGGTAAAACATTAAAATAATTTGAATTTGTTGAAACTATATTGATAAGATTTGAAGCTTTCTGATATTCTAGATATTTTGTAAACTATTTTCCTGTTCCTTCACAATACTTTCTTCTTCCTTGATTATTTTTAACATCTTTTGCTTCTTGTTTGCCCTAAAAATCTAAATATTCTATGTTAATTCTCTTTAAATTAATTCAAAGAGAAAATTCCCTGGAAATTATTTTTATGTTTTTGATACTGTCATTGAAAGGCAATATTGTCCTTATTGGTAAATGTGGCTTTACTTCATCTGTCTCTCTATGCTCTTCACTCATCCTGTAATTCAAATAACATATTCTCATTTCCTGATCATAAAATATTTCAACCCCTCATTCATACTTATTATGACACATCAAAAATTTTTTTCTTTAATACATGAAGTGGAGTATTATATTTTACGTACAGGAAAATTAGTAAATAGTTACATCTTTTTTTGTTTTTTGGGGTTTTTTTTTTTTGGTGAGGGAAGATTGGCCCTGAGCTAGCATCTATTTGCCATTCCACCTCTTTCTGCTTGAGGAAGATTGTTGCTGAGCTAACATCTGTGCCCATCACCCCCTACTTTATACGTGAGACCTCACCACAGCGTGGCTGGACCAGCAACGCATAGGTCCACGCCCGAGATCCGAACCTGCGAACTGTGGGCTGCCAAAGGGGAGCACATAAGCTTAACCACTACACCACCTGGCCAGCCCCCATAGTTATCTTTTAAGACAACAAAACAACAGTTAACATTTGTCATAAGGAAGTCAATTAACCCATAAATAAAGGCTTAGGGTATATTTCTTTGAGGAAGGTGGATATATGTATACTTAAAATCTGAATTTGCCTTATTAAAGCTATTTGTGGGCCAAGTAATAGAATATTTGGATTTTACACATGTGCATTTCAGAGTATTATATGGTTATAATAAAAATTCTGCTATTGTAGTAATATAATACAATACTGGTGTTGATGTAAATAATCAATAACCCATCTATAGATGAGAAAGATAGAGTGATATTTATTGAGCCTAATGTTAGGATAAGCCCAGAAGCACTCTCTTCCCCAAGGAAGAAAGCACTCTGGGGAAGCATGGTTTAGAGCATGGTTATATACCATTTCAGAACAAAGAGCATACATCAAGCATGACACATATATAATTTTTTTCTTCCAAAGTCACACGGAGACATTTTTCTGGTTTATCACATACATAGCAGGTCAACTTGACCTTGGTTCTCTGGGAAGAAAAGCCTATCTTCAAAGAAGTACTGGTATCAGCGTCAGAGAGAGGGAGACATTACAACCCTATCTTTAAATAGTGCATTCTTTGCTTTGGGAAAATGTTTGAAGCAGATGTACAATGCATGTTTGGTGGGCCATAAGTTAGGCTGCTCTGGGAAAAACAAGTTTTAAGCCAAATCAGATTTAAACCAGCACATCTTCCCCATATACTTCAATATGTGAAAACGTATTTTTATTCTTATTATTTTCAGCACTGGTCTTCAAAACAAAAGTATAAAAACTATTGAAATTAAGAACTACATACTTCAAAGTATGTAGTATCCTAAGTATCCTTAGCTTAGGATTTCCTAAGCTAAGCACTGTACCAAAATAGCTACTCCCTGACTGGAATGTTTCTTTCTAGATGTTTTGCAAAATAGCTCTTGCAACAAATTGTTCTACCTCAAATGAATTATCTAGCCTGGGGCTATTTTAATTCCTAATACCAGCACTGTACTGATATGCTAATATGAGCTCCTAGTGTCTCTCTCTGCAATTGCTCTGCTAGGTTTTCCTGTTTAATTATGATATGCCCACTACATGTGGAAATGGTTTCCTCTTGCATATATTCACACATGGCTACATACATGAAAGGTTGTGCACGTACATACACACACACACACACACTTTTTGTTTTTTGATCAAAAGATTTGGATATAATGAACGGGGTTAGGAAAAATCCTGTCTACTTTGGATAAAACCTGGCGAATACTAGAAAGTATATGTAATTCAGTTCAAATGGTTTTGGTGTAGTAAAGTAAACCCTGGTGCAGAGACACGTTGGTAAATACGACAATAAAATTTAAGTCAACACTTAGTTTAAAATGGAACATGCTCCATAAAGTTGGAGCTTATGAAGAACAGAGCCATAATAAGCCATATTCCAGATTTCTGGCTAACTAAAATTTCACTAACATCTTGTAAGGGGAAAAAAATAAATAATCTCTACAAATCTTACTGACTTCAAACCAGAGAAATGCCATCATTTATTAAAATGCTGGGAAGTTGATAATGATGATGAGGATAAACAAAATGGATAATAGTGTCTGGGATTTTGGAGGCCTTCCACCTACACTTTCTGTCTGTATAAAGAGAAAAGCAAGCATCTGGCGTAGCAGATGGTTTATATTTGTGATGCCGAAAGAAAAAAAAGAATATGGAAGACAGAAAGACATGTTCCTACTGATGCTAATAGTTTAGTATTCAAATTATGCTACAAGCATTTTTTCTCTATAGGAGATTAATGTTAGTATGCATCAAAAAGAAATTTTATAAATGAACTCTTCAGGAAAGAAGCAGACTGAATTTAAATGTGTTTTTCTTTGTAGAAAATTGAATCCCTAATCATCTGAGGAGTTTTACCGGTTCTAACACAGTGTTATTATTCCAACTTCTGGACAACCATAGCTCAGAGAGCACTCCCTCTTAGACTTCACTCTGTATGTGTTTCTTCCTGATTCAAAACATGACAAGTTGAATGCTCCCTTGTTTCTTGACTTATTTTAACTTTTGTCTAGGGAAGGATGGTCTCACAAAATATGTAGGGCACTATGTCCTCCATCATGTGTTTGGTACAGGGCATCTCTCATTGTAAAATCAGTATTTTAGCACCTCTTGCAGAACACAGGGCTTCCCTAAGGATTTTCTCAAACAATGGGATACTTGATTACCAACCAGTAACGCTATTCAAGAACACAAGTGATCACTTGTAACTAAATGGATTCTGAGATTCTTTTAAATATTTGATTGAGAAGAAATTGAAAAGAAAATTCACTACATTTGGTGAAGCCAAACCTGGACTTAGTGTGGTATCTAAGCCCGAATAACTCAAATTTTGGAGTAAACATAAATATTGGATCATTGTGTGACTATTTGGTTGAGGTAATGTGGCTAGATCATCATGAGTGGTGGTGGGTTTTTCTACTGAAAAAAAATAAATGTCAATAGTCAAACATCCAAGGAATAAGTAGTCAAGACTGAGGCAGAAAATAAGGAACCAAAAGGTGGGTTTAATGTGGGGGACAGTTTGGGCTAGACTCTCTGGCATAGAAAAGTCTGGGTTAATTTTGAATTAGAGGACTAAACTTTCCTTAGTCACATAGAGACATGTCATAATTGAGGTAATGAGCAGGTCTCGAAAGAGTCTCTAAAGAAGTAGTACTTCTGTGTTTCTTACTATAATATCCTTTTGTTCCTTTTCCTAAAATCTTGAAAATTCTTTTAACCCAGTCCCTGCTGTGTTGTGGAGAACTAAGTGCCCATTCTCCATTTGGGACTAAGTGAACTCTTACTTTTCTTTTTCTTCTATCTTAATGCATTTGGTGAGATTTATTTATTAGAGTCTTTTTCTCAAATATTTTCTTCAGATGAGTTATTTGGGTCAGATATTCTCTGTCTTTTTGATGATTCCATTTATCTTTCATTCACCCTGACAGAAGAATGATATCTTGGCTAGATATAAGATTCTAAGGTTGTGGTCATTTTTCTCAATAGTGTGTACATTCTACTATATTTTCATCTAGCTTTCAGGATTAAAGATGAGAAGTACAATCGTATCTTTTTTCCCCGTTGCACAAAAAGTATTTCTTATGGCATAAGGCATATAAGTTTTTTTCCCCCCTTATAAATAAAGAATTTTGACCAGACTATGCCTAAATACTTATTCTTAAAATTAGAGCTTATGATTATATGAACTCTTTAATTCCTCAAACAGGTCTGACCTCTACTCAGGGATATTTCTTTCTAGTGTTTCCTATTTTTTTCCCTCACTTTTCATCTGTCTATTTTTTTTCCTTTTGAAAAACTTACTTTTCAGGTTTTATTATTATTATTATTTTGTGTGTGTGTGTGTGTGTGTGTGTGTGTGTGTGAGGAGGATTAGCCCTGAGCTAACATCTGTTGTCAATCCTCCTCTTTTTGCTGAGGAAGATTGGCCCTGGGCTAACATCCGTGCCCATCCTCCTCTACCTTATTTATGGGACTCCTGCCACAGCATGACTTGATAAACAGTGAGCAGGTCCGCGCCTGGGATCTGAACCTGTGATCTCTGGGCCGCCAAAGCGGAGCACGTAAACTTAACCACTACACCACTGGCTGACACCTCAAGTTTATTATTTTTAATAAAATAATAAAATAAAATAAAAAAACAGTATGTAATAATAAATAAAAATAATATAATAAAAATTTATTATTTTTCAAAATCCAGTGAGTTTCCATAAGGGTCACATCACTATCTCTTTTCTCATAATTCCTTTTATCTTTTTTTCTCTGCTTTTTGAGATTGTTTTAAAATTTCATCTTTCAGATAATTAATTCTAGTTTCTACAGTTAAATTATTGATTTTTTTTTTTTTTTTTTTTTTTTTTAGTTTGAAAATGTGCTCCTAACTTTAAGGACCTTTTCTACCCTGCATGTAAATCTTCATAAGTGATATGTATATGTAGTCATCTTTTTCATGCAACAGTTCTATTTCACTGGTTTTGAATTTCAAAATTCATTTGATCTCTCTAACCATTCTTTATCTCTCTTTGCTTAATGGAGTTCACACATCATAATTGGGCACTCTTAAGATTGAGATTATTGCAAGTGGTGAGAGGAAAAAATGATTCTGTTCCTTTGATGGGTCTGTGGTGTAAAAACAGGCTATTGGGCTCCTATAAAGGCTTCTTTTGTGTAGAAGGAGAAAAACCAATCAAAACCATTAAGTCAAGCTTTATTAAAAATGTTTTAATATGGAAAAGGTCTAGTTAAGTGTTCCACAGGAAACCAATTACCTAAAGTATTAATGGGATAGATTGGGGAAACTCAAAGTTCAATTTTGTTCTGAGAATTGTTCAGTGTTCAATTTATTGAAGGCATAGGAAAACTAAGATTGTGTTAACTGTGGTCAAGATGCATAAATAGTAAGAAAGATCACAATTTTCCTAAGGGTCAATTTGGACTTATTAAGAGGGGAGGGAAGGTATAGTCGAGGCTCAGGTCTTTTGTGCATCAGTAGAAATTTTTCATTTCTTGAGCATCTTTCACATTTGTTTCGCTGCACAATTGTAGCATTAGGGCAGGAAGATTCAGGCCGCACATTCAGCACCATTGCGACCTTTTGAACATCAAGGCCCAAAAGTACTACCAAGGTCTACAACCTAGTGACCAGACGACCAAGTGACTAAAGAGTCCTAAATACCAACTCTTCCGGGGACTCCAGTTCTTGATCCGTGTTTGCTGGCTCTTCTCCAGTGAATATCTTGGCCCACATGAGACGGAGTCCCAAACAGTTCTCTCTACAGAGATCTCGACAGAATCTCTATTCCTATTCATTCTCCTAGATTAAAATTGGCAAGTATTTTTAAGATGGATGTGATGTGGAAGGAAGGCTCACATTCAGTTTTCCTGTTCTCAGGTTTCACAATCCTTTTGTCTTTTGTTACTTATCTGATAAGAAGTTTGAAAATTCCTTGCAAATTTTTTTTCTGTTAGTATTTATAATTTAAAAGAACTGGCCATGCATTAGTAAATTGGTATTATGTATGCCAAAATGTTTGACTACATAAATAATTAAGAAATTAGGGATAACATGCTAGCTATTTTGAACAGAGAGGAAAATGTGGTCATGTCATAGATCGTATATTTCATTAAACAATTCTATGTGTTTCCTTGCCTTGTGAAAATATATATGTATTCAATTTAATAAAGTTCATTACTTAAAAATTAAAGATAGCAATTTTCACAATGGTGTCAAAGGTCCTAAAGATAAAAGTTGAATTTAAGCTTTGGAGACAGGAAAAATGAAGTTGAGTGAAAAAATAAAGCAAAATAAAATCCATCTTATTTTTACTCAATATAGTTAGTATTCAGCTTATGACACTTTTTATTTCATCACATTAATGTAAAGTTGTTTTTAATGAAATGTAGAGCTTCTAATGTAATGGATTTATTCTTTCTGTAAATGTAAACGGATGTCCAAAAGCTTTTAAAATTTAAATGAATTTTTTATGAGAACAAATACACTATCTTACCTGTACAAAAGAAAGAGATAAATATTTACCTGACTTTAAGTGGCTACAATGAATCACTTTAAAGAGTCACAGCATATTACAAGGTTTTGTCCTTGACTTGACAATTAATTATGAACTTTATATTGTCAATAAACATATTGGTATTATGGAGTAATGGACAATTACAGTGAACATTGAAAGACATATCATGGTAATTTTTAAAATATTTGAGTGTCAACCTATCATTTAAGTTTATGGATTTCAATAGAGCTAAGGCCATACAGTTAGTATTGTTTACATAGTTCAATAATAAAATGTTTCACCATCCTACACTAAGCTTGGCAGATATTTCTGAAGAATACATGCAATGACCTTAAGTAGATCAGAGTAAGCAGGTCAATACACATTCACTGCAAGTGGGAATGTGATTTCTTGAAGATTGTTTCTTGGTTATCTGTTTCTTTTATTTTATCTATTTCAAATGAGATTCCATATATTTTTTATTTTATTTTGTTTTGTTTTTTACCCCAATTCAAACTTCAGTTTCCTGCAAATATTATAACCTTCTGTGGTGGCTGAGTAAAGGCCCTCAAAAGATTAGGATTACACAAGTTCAAATCCACAGAATTTGTAGAAGATACTTTGCAGATGTGATTAAGATAATGGGGACATGGGGATATTATCTGGGTGGGCTCTAAATGTAACTGCACATGTTCTTAAAAGAGGGAAACAGAGGAAGTATTTAAACAAAGTAGAGAAGAAAACCACATGACTGAAACAGCAGCAAAGTCAGAGATAGATGACACTATGCTGCTGGCTTTGAGGGTGAAGGAAGGGGCCACAAGCCAGGGATACCAGTGGCCGCTAGAGGCTGGAAAAGGCAAAGAAACTGGTTTTCCCCTAAAGACGCCAGACAGAGCTCAGCCCTGTCAACACCTTGCTTTCGGTCAAATGAAACCCATTTTAGAATTCTGTCCTTTAGAATTGTAAGAGAATTATTTGTGTTGTTTAAAGCTATCAAGTTTGTGGTAATTTGTTACAGCAGCAATAGAAAACTAGTAAACCTCTATCAACATATTGTCAGAAATAGTGATAGGAGGCAATAAATTACATTATATTCCTAGATAACGCATACTACTTTGTCTTAGCTCGGATTGCCAGAGCAGCTGCTATTCTCCGCTGAATACCTCTATGGTTCTGTCCTGTAGATCCAAGAAGTCCAACAGCCTTCCTTTATCTCTTCCTTTCTGCATCCCCTTCAGTTCAAACTGGCAATGTTTCTGCTCATGTAATCCCACAGGCTCTATATCGAGTGACAGTCCAGCCACATCGTTGGTGTTCTCTTTGGAACACATTTTCTCATCTTTTGCAATATGGACAGGCTAAGAATTTTCCAGATCTTTAAGTTCTGGTTCCTTTTTGCTTAGCAAGCTCTTTTTCAATTTATCTATCTCCTCTCCCATTCTATTATAAACAGTCAGGAGGAATCAAGTCACTCCTTCAACACTTGCTTAGAAATCTCCTCAGCTAAATACCCAATTTCATCACTTGCAAGTTTTACCCTCTGTAAAACACTAGAACACAGCTCAGCCAAGTTGTTTGTTACTTTATAACAAGGATTGCCTTTCCTTCAGTTTCTAATAACGTGTTCCTCCTTTCCATCTGTGACCTCACTAGAGGTCACACTGCCTTAACGTCCTTATTCCACCAGCATTCTGCTCATGATTATTTATATATTCTCTAAGAAGATGGAGGCTTTCTCTCTAGTTCTCCTCTTTTCTTTCTGAGCACTCACAATTGTTGCCTTTAACATCCATATTTCTACCAAGAGTCCCTTCACAGCAATCCAAGATTTTTCTAGCATGCTTTTCAAAACTCCTTTAACCTCTACCCAATACCCAGTTCCAAAGCTGCTTCCACATTTTAGGTATTTGTTGCAGCAGCACCCCACTTGTGGGTACCAGAATCTGTCTCACTCAGCTCAAAATGCCATAGAAAATACACTGGATGGCTTAAACAACAAACATTTCTTTCTCACAGTTCTAGACGTTGGAAAGTCCAAGATCAAGGTTCTGGCAGGCTTCAATTTCTGGTGAGAGCTCTCTTCCTGGCTTGTAGATGGCCTCTTTTGCTCTTTTAGCATCTCTTTCTCTTCTTATAAGGGCCCTAGCCCTATTGGATTAGGATCCCACATTTATATCATCATTTAACCTTAATTATTTTGTTGTAGGGCCAATATTGAAATACAGTCATGTGAGGGTTACAGCTGCAATATACGTATTTTGGGGGACACAATTCAATCCATAACATACCTTAAAATACAGGTCAGCGATATTAAAGGCAGAACTGACTGTAGAATTACAACATTAGAATATGCATACACATTTTAGGGGTTTATTTTTAAGTTAGTTCTAAATAGTTTTCTGTGTAGCTATGGGCATAAATGTTGACAAGAGTTCAAAGCCAGTCATGACAATACATTAAGAAGTGCCATATAGCTATATGAGCAGAGTTCTATGTAATAAAGATTGCTACATAGATTTAAGAGATAAAACCTACATGCATTTTTATTGCATTTTAAGATAATTCACTTTGATTAAAATCTAAAAATATCAACTGGAGATTTTGCCATTTAATACATGGAGGTTATTATCTCATTAATTTAGACTTTCCAGCAATATTTTCACGCAAAACCAAATAACTTCTGTCTTAGTCTCAGATTCTACTTCAGTCTTACCTACGAGTATGCATTTTTCAACACTTTCATCTTTCAAATTTTAGATTTTGCTTATGTACTGCTATTTACTCATTCATTCAAAAAACATACTTAACAGATATGATATAGAGATGAATAAACAGTCCTTGCTATCAAAGAGTTCAGAGCTCAAATTCTTATAGAAAAGTGAGAACAAGGGAATCTATGATGGATTAGTCTGTGATAAATCCTATGAAAGAGGATGAAGAATGCATAATGGAAGCCCTTAATATATTCAAAGAGGGTTTTAATGATGCAGTAAGCTTGGGTTGAGTCTTC